AACCTCTGCTATGGCTCTTCTCTAACTAGCACGGTCGAGCCGACTAGGAACAACCGAACGGGGACGCCCGCTCGATGAGGACCCGAGAAATCAGGCGGAGCAAATAAGGTAAGGCGCATAAGTCAACCGCAATATCGAGGACCGTACCCTGCACACATATAGGACAATACTGTCAGGCCATGTCAGAAGGGTACTTTGCAACCTTCTAGACTTGTCAAAACACGAACAGTGTCGTGGGCGTCGACATTTGTCCTACAGTATGGTAGGCGCCGATATTTGCCATACCAAAAGAACACGATGGAGCCAACCACATGCACCTGGGCATCAACAGTATTGTGGGCATCGATAAATCATTTTGTACCCGACGGCATGGGCAACAAGACTAGTAGCACACACAGTCTTTCTCTCTCTCACTTGTAAGGCCATCCCCTTAACCTATAAAAGGGGATGTGCTCTCTCCCGAACGACGGACGACGAATGGTTCATTCCGCTAGCTTTTAGCTTTAGACATTATGAGCACTTGAATAGCTTCACAGCTCTAGAACTCTAAAGCTACACGAGCATACGTTCAAACACCTAGCGCACGTTGGATCTCCTATCACTCTTGGCCCTTCGATCCAGAGTCCGACCGGATCTCTGACACCGCCCATCTTATTCCCACTTGTTTGTAACCCCACATCAAACTTCGAGCACATGGGCTCAGGAATAAAGTCACCGACCGACTCAAACTGGACGTAGGGTACGTTGCCTGAACCAGTATAAACCCTGTGTCATTGAGTGTTAGGCCACATCCGATCACAACATACGACAAAACGATAAATATTTACTAGTCGGTCACTTTTCACACCGACATGTGGGGTCAAAAAGGAAAGAAAATGTGAGACATGGTTAAAAATTAGTTGGTATGTTCGAATAAGGTAAAATGGTTGTGTTGTAGCTGCACAGTAACTTATGTGAGTACATCTACAGTAGTTGTTGCAGCAACAGTCGTTGCTTTGGTAGAAGCCAACGGGCCCAATATTACATAATAATTAAAAAGTTCTTTTTTCTCTAACTATTGTATAGTAAACCAAGACATCGTATCACTGGCTAGAATGGTATGTCATATTAGAGCAAGTATAGTAATGAGTTGTCGGTGGGCTAAATAAATGGAGGTCCGAAATCAACCAGAAGTGGATTGTAAGCAGCTAGACATAAGTAACTTATGTGAGTACATCTACAGTAGTTGTTGCAGCAACAGTCGTTGCTTTAGTAGAAGCCAACGGGCCCAATATTACATAATAATTAAAAAGTTCTTTTTAAATAAATAGAAGATAACTATTGTATAGTAGTAGCGGCGATGAGACATCGGTATCACTGGCTAGAATGGTATGTCATATTAGAGCAAGTATAGTAATGAGTTATCGGTGGGCTAAATGTTAAGATGGAGGAGAGAGAAAGAAAGAGAAAAGTGGATTGTAAGTTAGCTAGACATAAGAAAAAAAATTATGAGAAAGATATGAATCATAAGTGAGCTCACTATTATATAGATAGACTGTAAGTGTCTATAAAGCCAGGAGAGGATAATATTATGAGCCTTTGTCAAAGCTTGATTCTAAAGCAGTCGCTACATTGTGCAGTCAGCATCGGTGATTCATGACGACTAGAGTGGCACGTCGTATCAAGGCTTGATTCTAAAATCTGCGACTAATGTAGGCTATGTAGTAGCATCAATTATGGACCCACTATATACAAATTAAATAAAACAATCAAATATTAATCTGTCCTTCGTGCTGGCCATATTAGTATATTACACAACTGCCAAAGAAATAGAAACTGTTTTTTTTTCATGAACATCATGGTCAAAAATACATTTGTATGGTCTGCTTGAATCCATACAAGGCTTGCTTCGTTTTTTATGCAGCCCCATGTGAACGGACGATAAGATCCATGACTGATGCTAGTTTTGTTGTGAGAAAAATATGCGACATTGTTGAATAACCTGCTAAACGATATGAAACCTACAAGCTAACATGCTTAAAAAAATAGTTGTGTCGACACCAAGACTTTGCTCAAGCAATGGCTACGTTGACGTAGTGGTATAATCAATGCTTCAATCTTCTCACTCTTGTCAAGCATCGAACTTAGATAATGTTGTTGTAGCTATTCAAAGTGTGATTAGAGCAAGATCAATAACAAAGTCTTTTTCCTATTTCTATCTAGGTCCGGCACTGTATAGGATCATGTGCCCTGCTTATACGAGAACCAAGCTCCCTTCTCTCTTTCTTCCACATCAGCAAATATATTAATTAGCTTGACTATAAATCAATTGTTGTACTTGCTCGGTCTAATAAATTCATTTGTCTTCACCAAATGCTTTCAATTGCCAACTAAAAAGCCGTACAGGCTCATCAAATACTTTCATCAACTCCACACTAGCGTCAAACAAATCTCTAGCTGTTTATTTTTCTCGTTCTCTCCACTTCACATTTGTCTGAATCTACTCCTAAGCCTACTTAACCAGTGATATTGATGCCCGTTGAGGATGTCCTTAAAAATTGAATTGTTGTAGTTGCAGAGGAGAGGATACGGCCGAGCCCTACGTGATAAAGTGGCCGGTTCCTCTATCCTTTGTGTCTGCATAAAGCATGCACGTCTATGTTCATGTTAGATCTAATATACATGCAAAATATACATGTGGATAAAATATAAGGGTGTGTTTGGTTCATGTTTAAGAGCTAGCATGGCTAGCTAACTGAGCCTGGCTTGGATAGTACAAAACACACTTGTTTGGTTGCAATGGCTGGCTTAGCCTGGCTTCCCAGGGTGTGTTTGGTTGGCTGCTTTGTCTAAATAGAATCACCACATCTATGAACAGGTAAGTTCACCCCTATTGAAACATTTCATCGAACACCTGCTGAGCGAGGATGCACGCCGTTGCCATGGGAGTAGGGATGAAAACGGTACGGAAATATTCCAAACCGACCGCTTTCGTTTTCTATATCATGATACAGTTTTCTATATTATGATATCGTTTCCGAATATTGCTAAACATAAAAATTTGTCATTTTCAATTGGTTTCGCCATTTTAAACCATTTTTGTACTCTTTAATTTCTAAAATGTAGAAATATCTCGAACCGACCGCTTTCATTTTCTATATTGTAATACCGTTTCCGACCGTTTTCATCCCTACATGGGAGGCACTCAATCTCTCCCTCCTGCGCCTGCTCTTCCTCTCTCCCTCCTCCGCTTGCTCTTGCTCGTCGGCGTGCACAACCGTGCGGAATCGTTGCCGCCCGAAGCAGCAAGATATGGAGGACGTGCACAACCATGGCGTCTGGTGGTCCTTGGAGGCCATGGCGCAGGGCTCCACCACGCAAGCTCCCCGCGCGTCCCCTGCCGGGCAACCTTGCCACAGCGTGTGGAGGAGGTGGAGGAGCGCCTGGCTCGAGCATGGAGTCGGCGGGGCTCACAGGGTTGGAGACGAAGGTGCGCTCCCACTCGCTAATCTTGGGCTGCCTCTGCACTTCCCGGTCGCCTCTGAGCAGGTGAAGTTCGCGTGCAGCAGCGGCATCGAGTCTGACGGCCGGTCGTAGTACTCCGCCAGGTCCGGGAACGTGACGGGGGCAGCCCGCCTGGCGCCGCCACAAACGGATTCTGCTCCGGCGGGGAGCTCACCATGGTCGCGGCGACCAACGGCTTGTGGTCGCCGGTCATGAGCATGGAGGAGGTGGAGGGAAGCTGGCGCACGAGCGTGGAGGTAGAGGAACGCCGACGTGCGAGCGTGAGGGGGTGACGAGCGACAGGAGGTGAGGCGAGCGCTGGCCAAGCCAGGCTACGCGGAAATGGCCGCCACCTCCGTTTCCAGGGAGCCTGGCTAAGGGCTGGTCGGTGGTCTCGCGAAGCCTGGCTAACGAGCCCAAGCAGGTAACAAAACAGGTAAAATTGGCTTCTTGGAGCATATAGCGAGCCAATCAAACACACCTAAATATCTTTCTTTTAACATAGGTCTATTTAGATTTTCTTCTCTAAACTTTAGAGCTCTAAAAGCTTTAGAGCACGTACTTTAGCTCACTTTTAAGCTCTTTAGCTCTAATGTGAGGTGGGCTAAAATTTAAAGCTAATTTTAGACTACTTGTTTGAAGCTTTAGCTCTAAAGTTTAGAGCTCTAAAGTATAGAGAAGAAAATCCAAATATGCCCATATTTATTTTGTAAAAAAACAATTAGAGATGTAACCATTTTTTATGAAAACAGAACGTGATCCACAAAATTTTTAAACGCTGACCTGCAACGATTTTTTTACGTGAAAGAAAAACTTCCATCAGGTGTAACAACTTTGAGAAAAAAAAAATTGTATTTAACTGCTCTATCATGCATGAAAGTTGTTTAGATTTAACAAAAAGATGAAAACGGTGCAGTTCTTTCTGACAAACCCTTAGGCGAGCTTTATCGATGAAGAATAGTTACACCATTCCATAAGAAATGAACAACAAATCTAGAAGGATCATCGTCCCGGATACAATTTTGCTTTGTAAGCATAGCTCGCTAGTCCAAGATGGAAGCGGTGCAGTTATTGTTCTTCACAGTTCTGATCGTGGATTCGGCGGTAGGAATGAAATTAGCTCTGTAGTTTTATCATGCTCTTGCTTTACTACTCAAACTTACCCATGAAACCGAAATTAAAAAAGAAAAAGAAAAAAAATCCGTGTGCATGTGCGTTCAAGGAAGAAGTGCAAACAAGGAAGGAGGGGACAAAAATATTTATTGCGTCAGTGATGCTGAGATTCCAGGATTTTTTATTTTTATTTTTTTTCTAAAAAATCAAGGGCTATGATTACCTCCTCTGTCCAGAAAAAAAACGCAATTCTACTTGAATCTATGAATCTAGACACGCACGCGGAGGGGTTATGGGAGTAGGAACGCCCATATCTGCGTTGGCCCCGGTTGTTGTTGCCCGCTGCACGCCGCCGCCGCGCAGTTTGCTACGTCGACCGAGTACTTGCTGCTGGCCACTTAGCAATGGATTCCGGAAGAGGGGAGGTGATTTTCGAGAGCGTGTTCTTCCGATTATTCAGTGACGGCCATGTCGAGCGTACCGGCGGCAGGGGCACCGTGCCCGCTGGCTTCGACGCCGACACCGGAGTCACCTCCAAAGATGTCGTTATCGACGCCGCCACTGGCGTCGCCGCGAGGCTGTACCTTCCAGCCATCCAGAGGGTCAGGACGCCATCGGGGTCCGACAACAGCGGCACGACGAAGAAGCTTCCCATCCTCGTCTTCTTCCACGGCGGCTTTTTCATCGTCGGCTCATCCCGTGACCCCAACTTCCACCGCTACGTGAACTCGCTTGTCGCGAACGCCCGCGTCGTCGCTGTCTCCGTCGACTACCGCCTCGCGCCTGAGCACCTGCTCCCTGCTGCCTACGACGACTCCTGGGCCGCGCTCAACTGGGCGGTGTCCGGCGCGGCGGATCCTTGGCTGTCCGACCACGGCGACCTCGGCCGGGTATTCGTGGGCGGCGCCAGCGCCGGCGCGAACATCGCCCACAGCATGGCCATCGCCACGGGCATGAACGGCGGTTTGCAAGCTGCACCGCCTGCTTCGGCGCGCATAGAAGGCGTGATCCTACTCCACCCTTCGTTCTGCGGCGAACAGAGGCTGGAAGACGAAGCAAAAGAGTTCTGGGAAGCGAACAAGAAGAGGTGGGCGGTCATCTTCCCCGGCGCCAGCAATGGATCGGACGACCCCAGGATTAATCCGATGGCTGCCGGCGCTGGTGAGCCGGGCCTGGCGAAATTGGCAAGCAAGAAGCTGTTTGTCTCCACGGCGTCGGAGGATCCCAGGGCGCCAAGGGGCCGAGCGTACTGCGACGCCGTGAGGACCGGCTGTTGGACCGGGAAGCTGCAGTGGTTCGAGTCACAAGGTAAGGGACACTGCTTCTTCGTCCATGATTACGGCAGCCACGAGGCGGTCGCGCTGATGGATCGAGCGGTGGCTTTCCTTCGTAGTTTTAAATAGCGGGTTAACATGTAATCAGCTAATAGCGAAGCTAAATCAGGCTATAGCGGATATAGCGACTAAATTATATATGAACGCAAATAGCGAAGACTATAGCGACAACTACCGCAGGAGATTTAAAACATTGCTTTCATCGCTGGCCAGTGGCCATCGATAAACCTCAGGGCGGTACAAACGGATAATACTAGTGAAGCAGTACTCCGTCTGTATTCATGATTCATGATTTGATCGTGCGAATAAAACAAAAGGTGAAAGATGTTTGTCTGGTCTATGTTCTAGGAAACTCTCATAACTGATGATAGTGTGGTTCCAGTTGCTATTATATATCCTATAAATTTAGAAATTGAGTCTATGTCAACTAGTTAAGTGGGAGGTGTGTGTCGATCCATCCAACCAATCAGATTTGAATCCTCTTCAATTCATTTTTTTATTTTATTAAAAAACATGTACCTCCTAAATTGGTCATATTTTTCATATGATCCTACACATTAATAAATCCCACCTAGGCTTAGGATTCATATATCCTCTTTTCTAACATGATAAAGTATCTACATGGTGACATAGATGCCTTTTTGGTGAATAATATGCAGTCCTTTACTTATCTATCATTTGATAGTAGAGTAAAATAAGAGACTCACACTGCACACTCGTTGAATCACTTGATTAAATGGCCCCCTCTGATTGTAATTTCAAATGTTTGAAGATAAAATCTCCAATAAGACACTTTGACTTTACAAAATATGAAGTCTAGTGCCCAAAATATGAAGCCTAGTGTAATTTACCTATTGGACCGACCCACTCAACTTCGGTGTCCAGCGGCGTGAGTTATTGGGTAACCCAATCGCTCTCCATGCAAGACGCATTGTTTCACATCTTTTTTTTTCTCCCTATCTCTGCATAGGATGCAGCGTCAACGCCTACACTGTGTCCGTGCACTGAGCGGGAGCCACAAGGCCCACAACAAATGAGTTCCGCCCAACCCTTGCTGCTCTGGCAAGCTCCACCCCGATCGCTCAGGCAGCAGCGAGCTTCTCCCTGGCTGCGACAGGCGATCTACAACCAGGTCGCTCCGGCGAGCAGTGCCGCGATCGCTCAGGCAACCTCTGCATCCAGTTTCCCACCATGTGACCTGGTGTCTTGTGTTACCTCGGGCACGTTTGGTTCTACCGAATAATCTTGCCCTGCCTCGCGCCCTCGCCTAGCAAGAAAGTGATCAGAACGAGCCGTTTGGTTTCCTTACTCTGCTGCCTCGATTTTTGTGCAAGCGAATTTTTTCTTGCTGGTATGGGAGAACCGAATTAGCTCTCCTCACTGGGCAAGACAAGTCTCGCCTGGCGCCAAGCAAAGCTGTCACACATCTCATGGATCACGTGGGATTAGCAGTTGTGCCAATCCAAAACTAAAAATCTGTTTTAGGTACCGTGGCCCGTGGGTAAACCACTCGTTAACCCAATCGTGACCCACCTGGCCACCTGCATCGCTGAGTTACCGGATGACGGAGCACTGAACATGACAGCCAATTGTTTGGTGACAGCTCAGCTGTGCGTCATACAGTGCTATGTGCTGTGCTGGCCAATTTCCTGGAGCCCAGCCGTACCGTGAGAATTGATTCCAACGAGGCAACGACAAAGCTAGGCACATCACGAGAATGACGTTGCTCTGAGTAAGGATGGCAGCGGATCGGGTTTGGGGCGGATATCTGCGGGTTTCGGATTCTGCGGGTTCGGGTTTGGGGATGGTTTTTCACCCACGGTTTTCGGGTTCGGGGCCCCGAAACCAATCGGGTTCGGTTTCGGGTTTGGTTTTCCACCCGTGGATATCCAATGGATATCCGAAATAAATCATTTGGAATTAAAACTCATGTTTTATAATATACTAATAATAATTTGTTTACTTAGATTATTAAATTTATTTAAAGTTGACTCATGAAAATATTTATTATTTGTTGCCTCTTATTTATACATGTGAATATGTGTATATATATCCGCGGGTTTCGGGTATCCATTCGGGTTTCGGGTATCCGTTCGGGTTTCGGGTATCCGCGGGTTTGGTTTTGGTTATGGATTTCCACCCGAATCGGTTTTCGGGGCGGATTCGGGTTTTGATTTCGGGTTTCGGTTTTAGGTGCACGGAGACTCCACCCGATCCGAACCCGACCCGTTGCCATCCTTAGCTCTGAGAGCGGAGAGGGTCCTGAATACTCTACCGCGCCTGCAGCTGCAGATGAAGATCCAAAGAAGGATAGCCTTTCTTCCGGTCCAGCCACTCCAGTTCCTCCTAAAATGCTAAATTTTTTAAGATTTTTTGTCACATCAAATCTTTGACACATGCATGAAGCATTAAATATAAATAAAAAATAAAACTAATTACACAGTTTAGACGAAATCGACGAGACGAATCTTTTAAGCATAATTAGACTATGATTGGACACTAATTACCAAATAATAACGAAAACACTACGGTATCGTTTTGTCAAAAATTTTGGCAACCAAACTGGCCCCCAGTGCACGCCGCCGCCCAATTTGCTACAGGTGCCGGGGTAATGGATTCCAGCAGCAGAGTGATCGCCTTCCATTGTAGCTCCTTCCGACTATACATGGACGGCCAAGTCGAACGTGCTGCCCAAGAGAAAATGGGAATTTTGTTCCTACGGGAGTGGGTTTCGCTAGAATGCCATTAAGTTCGTGGGTTTCGTCAGAATGCCCTTACGAAAGGTGTGTTTCACGTTATTTTGTCATTTCGTGTTTTTTCAACTTTGTAAATTTCTGACCCCATCTTTTTGACCAGACGTGACCGTTTTACCCCTGTCTCCTTCTACCTTATCATCTTGCTCTGCTTCTCACGGTCACGGCAATTTCTCCTTTCTCTCCTGTTCTCTCTCCGTCTGGCCCGACGCCGGCCGCCGCCGCCCGTCCGCACCAGGCCGCCGTCGACCGTCCGCGCCACTGCTGCGTCCTCGCCCCGACCATCCGCGCCACGCTGCATATACTACTGGACAGATGCCTTTTGTTTCACAACTTATTCAACCAACCGTGTACTAGATTAAATGGTAGGCAACCATGATGTGTCAGAACTAAAACGAACAATGTACAGGCTAGCTGGCAGGCAACAATTTCCATTAACAAGTGAGCACGTTTTATACTGGAGAGTGGATACTGGAGCAGCACCTTGAGTCTGAAAGACCGGAGCGGTCATAGACTTGGAGAAGTCGGAGGACTAGAGGAGGCACAGACGCACAGCTGCACCAGGTGGGGGTCCATGGAGTGCGGCGGCCCAACAGCAAGCGCGGACGCCAGCACGAGTGGTGGCGGTGGATCTGTGTCTGCAGTAGGATCTGCAGATGCCGGCTGTGGATCTAGCCACAGGCGGCGGATCCATTGTCGCCGGCCGTGCATCCATCGAAGACGGAGGCTACCGACACCGGCAATCGAACACTCACAACCAGTGGGTGGTGCCGTCACTGCCGGGCTACGCGGGCAAGCCAGTCGTAGGAGCCGCCGCCTCTACTGGATGTGCGGTCAGCTAGCCAGCTGACAGCATCTAGGTCCCTAGTTGGGTTTCGGTGATTAATGACAACACGAGATTACTATGACTAACGTGTGTTTTGTAGAGACAATTAAGTTAGGTCATGGTAATGGCAATTGATTGGGCAATCATGGTGGCCATGCCCCTGACGATGGAAATCATTTCGGTTTTCAAAAGATGGACGACAAGGTTAAGGACAGACTAGTTCTAAGTGTCGTTTGGTGTTGGAGAGACACTTAGAGTAGTTTAGAACTTTATTTTTTCTTTGGCCGTACTATTAAATGGGGTATGGACTAGTAGCTTGATCTAGGTGGGTCTAGTTGGTTAGGTATGATGCACACTTATCAAATCTAGCACTAGGTAGCACAGGAGCAGCCCTAAGATCAATTGGAGCAAACTTCATTCACATATGATTTCGAGTTGGAAGTAAATGGATGGTTAAATGACTGACTGGACGCTGGTCTGGTTGTGATCGGATGCTGAAGGCTGAGTCCGGTCAGTTCGTTTGATCAACTGGAACCGTCTGGTTGCGACCGGACGCTGAGTGAAAAGTGACCGGACGCTGGGGAGTTTCCTGATCGGACGCGTCCAGTCAGTGCTGACCGGACGCTGGTCAGGACCCGATAACTGACTGGACGCTGAACAGCGAAGTGATCAGACTCTGGGTGCCAACGTCCGGTCAACATCAGTAAGGTTTCAAAGAGCGTTTTTCGTGACCGGACGCGTCCGGTCAGTGCTGATCGAACGCTGGTCAGAGTCCGATCAGAACTTAACGGCTCTTTTTGACACTGTGGTGGGGATAACTGACCGGAGCGTCCGGTCACCCTGACCAGACCGTCCGATCACCCCACAAAGTGATGACTCAGCCTTCAAACGTTATGTTTTGAATGAGGGGGTATAAATACTTACTCCACTCATCCAAGGGGGATCTCTTGCCCATTTGTTCAGCTGAGAAACACCCTTGAGAGTGAAAAGGAGATCAAAAGCCTAGTGAGGTAATTGAGATTTGAGATTCCAAGATTAAGGCCTTATTAGTGCCAGGAGAGTAGCAAGTGTGCATCTATCCTTCTCATTAGGCTTGTCGTGGTCAAGTGAGAGTTTATGCTTGTTACTCTTGGTGATCGCCATCACCTAGACGGCTTGGTGGTGATTGAGAGTTTGGTCATAATCTGGCGAAGCTTGTGGATGACCCAACTCAAGTTGTGAGCGGTTGTGGACGATTCACCGCGACGGAGTGTCGAAGAATCAGCCCGTAGAGAGCACTTGATCCTTGCACGGATTAAGGAGAAGCTACACCCTTACGCGGGTGCTCCAACGAGGACTAGTGGAGAGTGACGACTCTCCGATACCTCGGCAAAACATCGTCGCGTTATTTTCCCTCTCTTTACTTTAAGCATTTACATTCGAGCAATTCATTTCTTGTCTTTATATTCCTAGAATTGCCATGCTAGAGTAGGATTGGAACTTATTGTGCTAAACTTTTGTGCGGTAGATCAATAGAATCACATTCTATGCACAAGAGGTGAAGTGGGCTAAGTATATGACTTAATTATTGCAAAGAATTTAGAATTAGCCTAATTTACCCCCCTCTTGGGCATCTTGATCCTTTCAATTGGTATCAAAGCCTCGTGCTCGCTAAATTAGGCTTAACCGCCTAGAGAAATATGTCTCACGGGATGGACCTCCTCCTATCTTTGAGAGAGATGATTTTCCTTATTGGAAAATTCACATGGAAGCTTATTTAGAAGCTCTAGGTGTTGGAATTGTTAGAGCCGCCTCCCAAGGGTTCCCAAAACCTAAGGACCCCACACACCTTCAAGGCGATGAAGTAAATTACGAGAAATGGAATACAAAGGCTAGAAACACCATCTTTAGAGGTCTTTACAAAGATGTGTTTAACCATGTGAGGAACCACAAGGACGTCCATGCACTATGGTCGGACATTTATGCGCTCCATAAGAGAACAAAGAGTGAGCGTGAGGAACACTATCATCTTGTTATGAAAAAACTTAATTCATTTGAGATGCTTCCTAAAGAAAGTGCTAATAAAATGTACTCACGCTTGAATGTTCTTGTAGAGGAAATCAATGGGCTAGGACTTACACAAATGCAGCCCTCCAATGTTGTAAGAAAAATCTTGAGTGTCCTAGCCATTGATAAATACGAGCATATTGTGACCGTGCTTCATCAAGGTGATCTTTCTACCGCTACACCAACTCAAATATTAGGAAAGATCAATGCACATGCGATGTATATACACATCACACCACAAGATGGCTCCTCTTTCACCAAGAAGAAAGACTTGGCATTCAAGGCTAGCCAACAGAACAAGGGCAAAGCAAGAGTTGAACATGAGAGCTCAAGTGATGATGAAATTGATGATGCAAGTCTTGCTCTCATGATGAGAAGAACCG